CCACCTTGGCCTCCTAAATTGCTAGGATTATAAGCATGAGCCACTGTGCCCAGCCTCTTTTTTTTTTTTCCTTTCAAGTAGAGATAGGGTCTGGCTGTGTTGTACTGGCTTGTCTTGGACTCCTGGCTTCAAGTGATCCTCCCGTCTTGGCCTCCCAAAATGTTAGGATTATAGGTGTGAGCCACTGCGCCCAGCCAGGTTCTGTTTTCTCTGTATTGACCTTTCCTTCATTCTTGAGAGGCATTTGGGGAAAGTCTATTAGTTTTGTTTTCCATTTGTTTTTTCTGTGCCCATTTTTCCAGCTTCATTTTACCAATTTTTTCTCTCTTTTATTTATTTTAATTTTTTTTGAGACAGAGTTTCGCTCTTGTTACCCAGGCTGGAGTGCAATGGCGCAATCTCGGCTCACCGCAACCTCCGCCTCCTGGGTTCAGGCAATTCTCCTGCCTCAGCCTCCTGAGTAGCTGGGATTACATGCACGTGCCACCATGCCCAACTGATTTTTTGTATTTTTAGTAGAGACGGGGTTTCACCTTGTTGACCAGGATGGTCTCCATCTCTTGACCTTGTGATCCACCCGCCTCGGCCTCCCAAAGTGCTGGGATTACAGGCTTGAGCCACCGCGCCCGGCCCTGTTTTCTCTCTTACCCAGTGCGTTTAATGAGTTGTAATTTACATACAATAAATTTAATCTATTTAAAACATACAATTCCATGAGTTTGGATGTAGACAGACACAGACACACACACACACACACCCCCACACCCATACCCACACCCACCCCACACCCACACCCACACCCCACTTTTACCCCGAAACAAGATTTGGTTTACCACAGTTTTTTCCTGCCCTGTGCAGTCCAACCCAGCCCTCAAGCCTATGATTTGTTTGCTTTCAGATGTAAAAATGATTAGTTTGCAGTTTTGTTTTTGTTTTTGTTTTTTTGAGACCGAGTCTTGCTCTGTTGCCCAGGCTGGAGTGCAATGGCATGATCTCGGCTCATGCAACCTCTGCCTCCCTGTTCAAGTGATTCTCCTGCCTCAGCCTCCCGAGTAGCGGGGATTATAGTTGTATTCTACCATGCCCGGCTAATTTTCGTATTTTTAGTAGAGACGGGATTTCTCACCTTATTGGCCAGGCTGGCCTCTTACTTCTGACCTTAGGTGATCCACCCCCGCCTTGGACTTCCTAAGTGCTAGGATTACAGGCGTGAGCCACTGGGCCTGGCCAGCTTGGGTTTTCAAAAGTTTCAAGTGAATGAAATAATACAGTATGTAGCCTTTTGTGCAAGGTTTCTTTTACTCAGCCTGTTTTTGAGATTCATGCATATTAAATATGTAGTAGTTTGTCCCTTTTTTTTTGGTTTTGAGAACGTTTTTTTCCCACAACTAGGAAATTGAACATGGACAAACCTTATTCAAAGTTTGCCAATTTTAGCTGAGCATGACGACTTAGGCCTGTAATCTTAGCACTTTGGGAGGCCAAGGTTGGAGGATTGCTTGAGGCCAGGAGTTGGAGATGAGCCTGGACAACACAGTGAGACCTTGTCTCTACAAACAGCTAAAAAATTAGCTGGCATGGTTGTATTCCTGTAGTGCTAGTTACTTGGGATGCTGAGGCAGGAGGATTGCTTGAGTTCAGGAGTTAAAGGTTACAGTGAGTCGTGATTGAGCCATTGCACTCCAGCCTAGGCAACAGAGTGACACACTGTCTCTAAAAATAAAAGGTGAAAAATAAATATCAACAGTTTTGCATAAACTCTTGCATATATGTATTTAGTTGTATATGATTTTATCATGTGTTAATTTTTGCAACCACACATCTGGCAATTGTTTTTTAATTTTTGATTTTCTCTATGGTAGCTTATTTTTTATGGATGAGATATAATTTTGCCTCTGAGAATATTTAATGATTCTCTTGTTTATTCCTGCAACTCTTTCTTCAGATGGTTTCTCGTTTTTGTGGTGTTAATTTCCCTTTTAGTTTTTCTAGTTTGTAAAAGTGATAATCCTGGTTTGAGAATTGCTATTCTTCTGCCAGTGGATTACCAGTTGGTCAGGATGGATTGTAGGGGAGGTACGAAATGTGTTGCAAAACACAGGGCAAAATGTCTCTTTATTTCTTCTGCGTAATAGCAGCCACCTGTGTGCCATCCTGACTCTGGGGCTCCAGTACCTGTTCCCAGTGAAGACTTTGCTTCTGTGGGGGTTGGGGATAGAACATGGTTATTGGTAGAGGGAGTGGCCTGTCCACTTGTGCCAAACACATTTCTCCACCATCACTCGTGACTGCACCAAACCTGCTTTTGTTTCTCCATGGTAGCCACCATCCCTGCAGCTTGGATAAGAGCACCCCTACGTGCTCTTACGTTCATAGCTGCTCTCAGTTTTAATAGCATTCCTCTTTTGAGGCTTCTGCATGGTTATTGCCTCCGTAAACCTAATTCTGTTGCTGCTATCTTTTCTTGTTTCTCAGAATTATTTTAGAAAATAATATATCAATAAAACCATGTCTTTTTATTTTTTGAGACAGAATTTTGCTCTGTCACCCAGGCTGGAATGCAGTGGTGTGATCTTGGCTCACTGCAACCTCTACTTCCCGGGTTCAAGCAATTCTCCTGCCTCAGCCTCCTGAATAGCTGGGATTACAGGTTCCCGCCACCATGCCTGGCTAAATTTTGTATTTTTAGTAGAGACAGGATCTCACCATGTTGTGCAAGCTGGTCTTGAACTCCTGACCTCAGGTGATCCGCCCTCCTCGACCTCCCAGAGTGCTGGGATTACAGGTGTGACCCACCCAGCCTAAACACCCATCTTTAGTAATATCTAGGATTTAGGTTAGGAGGGGAAGTGTGTACCGATGCTCCTTGACTTACGATGGTGCTTCATTCCATAAACATACCAGAAGTTGAGAATACTGTAAATCACGCTGGCCACAGTGGACACTCATGCTTGTAATCCCAGCACTTTGGGAGGCTGATGTGGGGCAATTGCTTGAGCCCAAGAGTTCGAGACCAGCCTGGGCAACATGAAGAAACCCTGTTTCTACAAAAAATACAAAAATTAGCTGAGTGTGGTGCCATGTACCTGTAGTCCCAGCTACCCAGGAGGCTGAGGTAGGAGGATTACTTGGGTCCAGGAGGCAGAGATTGCAGTGAGCTGAGATTATGCCACTGCACTCCAGCTTGGGTGACGGAGTGAGATGCTGCCTCAAAAAAGAAAAAAAGAAAATATTGTAAGTCGAAATGCATTTAATACACCCAACCTACTGAACATCATATCTTAGCCACACCTACCTTAAATGTGCTGAGAATACTTAAATTAGCCCCCAGTTGGGCAGAATCTTCTAGTGTAAAGCTAGATGCTTTAGTAATAATAGAAAAGCTAATTATTTTACAATAAAGTGTTGAATGTCATGTAATTTATTGAATACCGTACTGAAAGTAAAAAACAGAGTAAGTACTTGAAGTTGGGTTTCTACTGAATGCTTACTGCTTTTACACCATTGTAAATTTGAAAAATCATCACCTTGACCCCTCCTTACTTTGGGACCTTCTGTATGTCTATGTAGTTCATCTTGATCCAGTCTCTTCAGGCCTTTTTTTTTTTTTGAGACGGAGTCTCGCTCTGTCACCCAATGTTGGAGTGCAGTGGTGCCATCTCGGCTCACTGCATCATCTGCCTCCCAGGTTCAAGCGATTCTTCTGCCTCAGCCTTTCGAGTAGCTAGGATTACAGGCACCCGCCAGCACGCCTAGCTAATTTTTATATTTTTAGTAGAGACGAGGTTTCACCATGTTGGCCAGGCTAGTCTCGAATTCCTGATCTCAGGTGATCTGCCTGCCTCAGCTTCCGACCCCCCCCCCTTTTTTTTTTTAAATACTGTCTCGCTGTGTCACCCAGCCTGGAGTGCAGTAGTGCGATCTCAGCTCGCTGCATTCTCCATCTCCTTGGTTCAAGAAATTGTCCTGTTTCAGCTTCCCAAGTAGTTGGGACTACAGGTGCATGTTACCACACCTGGCTAATTTTTGTATTTTTAGTAGAGATGGGACCTCACCATATTGGTCAGGCTGGTCTTGACCTCCCAGAGTGCTGAGGTTACAGGCGTAAGCTGTTGCGCCTCGACCTTTTGGGAACTGATGTTAACGTCTGTTGAAACCTTTTATATTTGATATCACATTTTGAAAGATACATTGACATTTTAGCTTATATGTTACATAGTGTTGGGAATTTCCTGTCTCTAGTTTGCTACTATACCTGACCTCTGAAGTCTCAATGTTTCTCTTTTAAGCTAATAAGAGAGATTTTCATTCTGAATCTTTTTCACAGTTGAGGCATATGAGTAGTCACCTTGTTATTTTATTTTTTCCTTCTGTTTTTTTTTTTTTTCTTTTCACCTTATTGTTTTATTTTTTTTTTTTAAGAGACAAGATTTCACCATGTTGGCCAGGCTGGTCTCGAACTCCTGACCTCAAGTGATCCACCCGCCTCGGCCTCCGAAAGTGCTGGGATTACAGGTGTGAGCCACCACTCCCGGCCTATACCTTGTTATTTTTATTATTATTATTATTTATTATTTATTTTTTAAGAGACGGTTTTCACCATGTTGGCCAGGCTGGTCTTGAACTTCTCACCTCGTGATTCACCTGCCTTGGCCTCCCAAAGTGCTGGGATTACAGGTGTGCGTCACCGCACCTGGCTTCTTATACCTTGTTATTTTAAAAATATTTCATAATGCATGCCGTTTGGGCTTGTCTGACAAGATGGTTGGGTTGGTTCAATACTTTGTTATTTTTCTTTTTCATCTTTGCTCTAGTATTTTTTTTTTTTAAAGATAATGCATCTAAATCGAGATGGAATCACATTTCTTTGTCCCAAAACCTTTTTGTGTAGAATTATGTTCTTTGGAAACCATAGGGTTTGAAATATGTTGCTACTGTGGTAAGTGTAAATTTAGTTTTCAGAAAAAAGCTGTTCTGACTTGTTTTTCTTTCCTATTTAGTTTTTCCATGGTTTGGCTTGGATATCGGTGGAACTCTGGTCAAGCTGGTTTATTTTGAACCCAAAGACATCACCGCTGAAGAAGAGGAGGAAGAAGTGGAAAGTCTTAAAAGCATTCGGAAGTATCTGACCTCCAATGTGGCTTATGGGTCCACAGGCATTCGGGACGTGCACCTCGAACTGAAGGACCTGACTCTGTGTGGACGCAAAGGCAATCTGCACTTTATACGCTTTCCCACTCATGACATGCCTGCTTTTATTCAAATGGGCAGAGATAAAAACTTCTCAAGTCTCCACACTGTCTTTTGTGCCACTGGAGGTGGAGCGTACAAATTTGAGCAGGATTTTCTCACAGTATGCATTTTTTAGCTTATATACAATGTATGGCAATTTGATTGTTAAAAATAATACCAGCAGCAAGTGGTGAAATAATTTTCATCTCTAATGGAACTTGAATTTTCTTGAGTTAAATGAAGATTAACAGTATGCTAGTGATAGTCAAGAGTTAGCCATCTAGAGCTGGTTGTATAGTTTAGATGTCTGGATGACAATCAGAGCCACTAAAAATTTAGCATTTTGTTTCTTTAGTATGAAAAAGTAGGGCACCTGCTATACGTTGAGTAAGGAACTGCCTATGAGGAACATCATTAGATCTTAAAACGAGATTTAAATACTTAAAAAATCATTTCATGTCTTAAAATTGTTTTCATTCTTGTCTGCCACATAATTTGTCTCCCTCAGTTGTTTCCTGACATGTTCACTAGCTGAAAAAACAAGGAACTCTGGTCCAAAGTGATGTTTTCAGGCTCAGGGCTGGTCTGAGATGGGTGACTGCAGAGCCCCCCTCTCCCAGAATGCCTTCTGATGTGTTGTCCTGTGCTGCATACTTAACTGGAGTCTCTCCGCCACGTCTGGCCCCTGGGGGAGTGCTGCCGGGCGCTCTTTCCTTGCTTTCATTGAGTGAACACTGGAGAACATTGTGAACAAGGCCTTGAGGCTAGGTCCTTTCAGGGTGGATGGTGGGGGTAGGCCAGAGAACTGACAAATGAATTGGCCAAGATCCTGACCTTCAGGGTGCAATACGATTGAAAATATCTTCAGTGACTATGTTTTTCTATTGCTAAATGAGTCTGAAAGAGATCTGCCTTGGTTATTCTGCATGTCTTTTAGTAGAGACGGGGTTTCACTGTGTTGTCCACACTGGTGTGGAACACCTGACCTCAAGTGATCCACCTGCTTCGGCCTCTCAAAATGCTGGGATTACAGGCATGAGCCCCTGTGCCTGGCCACAGCTTAACTTTTTTGACTTAACATGTCTTGGAGTTCTTCCCACTTGAGTACATACAGTTCCTCTTCATTTTTAATTACTGTACAGTGCTCCATAATACGAACAATAATTTAGTCATTTATTATTTAAATGGAATTAATTAAAAAAAAAAACAGTCCAAATTTTGAATGCTAAAATCCCGCTCCCTCCCAAGAAGCTGTAGCTAGTTTAGATAATGGAAAAAAATTCTTAACTTCTAACTGGATATTGTCAGCCTTTGGCTTCAGTTGTTAAATAATGTGTGGCCTCAGCTTTGTGTGGTGGCTCACGCTTATTATAATCCTAGCACTTTGGGAGGCTGAGGCAGGCAGATTACGAGGTCAAGAGATCGAGACCATCCTGGCCAGCATGGTGAAACCTCGTCTCTACTAAAAATGCAAAAATTAGCTGGGCATGGTGGCACGGGCCTGTAGTCTCAGCTACTCGGGAGGCTGAGGCAGGAGAATTGCTTGAACCCGGGAGGCGGAGGTTGCAGTGAGCCGAGATCGTGCCACTACACTCCAGCCTGGCGCCTGGCAATGGAGCAAGCCTCTGTCTCAAAAAAAAAAAAAAAAAAAAAATGTGTGGCCTCTTCTGATACCGCTCCAAAGCACTGAGTTGGTCTTCTGTCGCAGTCCTTGTGGCTCCTGGCCTGTGTCACCAGATGCTTTCTGATAGTGCCTGTGGCCTGAGCTATGCATTAGCTCCGTTGTCCCTGTGAGCAGAGATCTGGATTTCTGCTTGAAAGTTGATAAATTTTGTGTGTGTGTGGTTTTTTTTTTTGGTCACACTTATTCAGCTGCTGCAGTAGTTTCTGTGTAGAGTGTATTTAGGTCTGCGGTAGCAGGAGTCTGTCTCAGCACTCTGTCCCTCTGTTTGTTCCTAAACCTGTTCTGTAAAGCGTGCACAAGTAATACCCATCTGTGAGTGCACTTCTATGGTTTGTTTCAGGTTAGTGGGGATGTCTTATTGAGTGGAATTTTTGTTTCTGTTGGCTTATTAAAAAATTTGAGTACATTCTTATTTCATTACAGATAGGTGATCTTCAGCTTTGCAAACTGGATGAACTAGATTGCTTAATAAAAGGAATTTTATACATTGACTCAGTTGGATTCAATGGACGGTCCCAGTGCTATTACTTTGAAAACCCTGCTGATTCTGAAAAATGTCAGAAGTTACCATTTGATTTGAAAAATCCATATCCTCTGCTTCTGGTGAACATTGGCTCAGGGGTTAGCATCTTAGCAGTATATTCCAAAGATAATTACAAACGGGTCACAGGTACTAGGTAAGTTGTATATAAAAGTCATTATTTATTCTTAATATCGTAACAGGCTGAGTTTTCAGGTATTACATATGCAGCTTCAAGAACCTGTTATGTGAAAGATTTAGGTGTTTCTGGATTATGCAAACAAATGTTTCTCTTTGAAAATTCTGATTTTATGACCTAGTTTTCTTTAACCTCTACCGTTCAAGATTTATTATCCTAAGTGTTTCCTAAAAGATCACATCAGCAGACTCATTGTAGCCCTTGCCCTCAGATCGTTTATGGTGTGCATATGCAAAATAGCTAATGTTACTAGGCAGCATCTGTAAGGAGAAGGCATAGGAAAGGGCCTAGCTTGGAAACCTGTGTAAATTTCATGCTTCTACACACACATATGTGACTTAGAAGTTGACATGTACTGATCAGTAGAAAAATTGAGCTAAGGTAGTCTGAAAAGAGAAGATTAGGGCGGGGTGTGGTGGTTCATGCCTATAATCCCAGAGGTGGGTGGATCACCTGAGGTCAGGAGTGGAGATCAGCCGGTCTCTACTAAAAATGCAAATTAGCTGGGCATGGTGATGCATGCCTGTAATCCCAGCTACTTGGGAGGCTGAGGCAGGAGAATCGCTTCAGCCTGGGAAGCCAAGGTTTCGGTTAGCCAAGATAGCACCATTGCACTTCAGCTAGGGCAACAAGAGTGAAACTGTCTGAAAAAAAGAAAGGATTAGATGGAAAAAGAGAATGTTTTGGCTTAAGGGTCAGAGGTTACTTCAGGAAAAACAGGGATCTAGGGAATGGGATAAACAAATTTTTAGAAAACAGTTGTGATTTAAATAGAGGAGTAATTTTTTTGGGGACAAAACACATTGCAGGAGGAGTATAATGGGTGGAGGGAGGGAGGGCACTGATGAGCCAGGGTAACGAGGTGCTTGGATGAGAATGACTCAGGGAATGTACTTGGAGTGGGAAAGGGAGGGAGGTGTTAGCATGGCCCTAGGTGTGTTGGGCTGATTTGCACCTGAGGCTCTTCATACTTGTCAGAGAGCTAGACTTGCTGGGCCCATGGGCCCTGTTTTGCAGCTTTGCATGTTAGCTCACATACATATGTGTCTCAAAGGTGTGTATCAGGCACCTTACCTTGCACAGACTTATTTCCTACCAGTGGCATTTGGATGATTGGGTTGGATATGCGAATATGGTTTTGGGGTTCATAAATGTTACCTTCCTGTTCCTATTTTTAAAAATGTTATAATACTATGTTATTTATTTTTAATTATAGTCTTGGAGGAGGAACTTTTTTTGGTCTTTGCTGTCTTCTTACTGGCTGTACCACTTTTGAAGAAGCTCTTGAAATGGCCTCTCGTGGAGATAGCACCAAAGTGGATAAACTAGTGCGAGACATTTATGGAGGGGACTATGAGAGGTTTGGTCTGCCAGGCTGGGCTGTAGCTTCAAGGTAAGGGGGCATGTGTGTTGTAAGAAATACAGGTGGGCTGGACACAGTGGCTCATGTCTGTAATCACAGCACTTTGGGAGGCAGGAGTTTGAGATCAGCCTGGCCAACATAGTGAAACCTGTCTCTACTAAAAATACAAAAATTAGCCAGGCATGGTGGTGCGCACCTGTAGTCTCAGCTACTTAGGAGGCTGAGGCAGGAGAATCACTTGAACTCGGGAGTCGGAGGTTACAGTGAGCCGAGATCGTGCGACTGCACTCCAGCCTGGGCGACAGAGCAAGACTCCATCACAAAACAAAAAAAAAAAAAAAAAAAAAACCAGATATAAAAAAAAATAAGCTTCATTGGGATATAATTTACATACTATATTAAAGTGTACAATTTTGTGGTTTCTAGTATATTTACAGGATTGTGCAACCATCACTATAATCCAATTTTAGGACATGATTATCATCCCAGAAGGAAACCTTGTATTCATTAGTTACCATTCTCCTCTCCCCGACAACCCCTGCCAAACAGTAATTTATTTTCTGTCTTTCTAGGTTTGCCTCTTCTGAACATTTTGTATAAATGGTATCACACAGTATGTGATCTTTTGTGATTACTTCTTCATTTAGCATAATGTTTTCCAAGTTCATCCATGTTATAGTGTGAATCAGTACTTTTTTATTTCCAAATAATACTCCATTATATCGATAATACTACATTTTATCCATTTATTAGTTGGTAAACATTTGGATTGTTTTTACTTTTTGGTTATTACGAATAATGTTGAACATTTGTGTGTCTCTGTATACACATATATTTTGAAATCTCTTGGGAGTATACTTGAGAGTAGAATTGCTGAGTCATATGGTAACAATGTTTAATCTTTTGAGGAACTGCTACACTGTTTTCCAGAGTAGTTCCCTTTTACAGTCTTAGCAGTTTATGAGTGTTTAAATTTCTTGCCAAAACTTGTTATTGTCTGTCTTCTTGGTTTTAGTTGTCTTAATAGGAGTGAAGTGATATAGTGTTTTTATTTTTAAGAGACAGGGTCTTGCCCTGTTACCCATGTGAGAGTGCCGTGTTGCGATCATAGCTCACTGCAGCTTTGATCTCCTGGCCTCAAGTGTTTCTCCTGCCTCAGCCTCTTGAGTCACTAGGACTACAGCTGTGCATTGCCTCACCTGATTTATATTTTGTAGAGATAGGGTCTTGCTATGTAGCCGAGGCTGATTTCAAACTCCTGGCCTCAAGCGATTTTCCTACCTTGGCTTCCCAATATTTTGGGATTACAAGTGTGAGCCATCACAGCTGGCTGAACATCTTTTTTTGTTCATGTGGCAGGGTCTTGCTCTGTCACCCAGGCTGGAGTGCAGTGGCATCATCTCGCCTTACTGAAACCTCTACCTCCTGGGTTCAAGTGATTGTCCTGCTTCACCTCCTGAATAGCTGGGATTACAGGCACACCTGTAAATTATGTCACCATGCCTGGCTAATTTTTGTATTTTCAGTAGAGACTGGGTTTCGCCATGTTGGCCAGGCTGGTTTCCTACTCCTGAACTCCTGACCTCAAGCGATCTGCTTGCTTCAGCCTCCCAAAGTGCTGGGATTACAGGCGTGAGCCACGGTGCCCAGCCTGAACATTTCTTTATATGTTTATTGGCATTTGTGTGTAGTCTTCAGAGAAATATCTGCTCAAGTCTATTGCTAAGTTTTTAGTTGGATTTTTTTTTTTTTTTTTTTTTTTTTTT